GTGTAGGGACAGAAATTTAGCACATAGGGAGCTTGTGCAGGAAATTCAGGGCTGCAAGAAACCATAAACCCGATCAACGAAAGATACAAAGTATGCTGTCCCCTATTTCTAGGGCCGTATTAGGAGGAAGCATTCTTTGAGTCTATTTTGAACTTGGTATGGTGATAGTATTTTTCATTTGGGAAACACAGCTTAGACAGCAGCTTAGATCCTCAAAAAGTGTAACTGCTAACTTTCCTGGAGAAACTTCTTATGCATGATGCCATACCCTTTCCAGCCTGCAACACACAGACCTTTTTGTTCTTGTCAATGGTCTCAACTGAGTCCCATGGCCAGACTCCATTCTGCAGAGCAAGCTGCTCTTCTCCTAGTGTACAATTTCAAGCTGCTGCTCTCCTAGTTCACAATTTGTTTCTTATGGAGACTGAAGCTTTCAAGTTCATAATCTAGGGATCTCAGCAAATAGGCCACTACAGAATGACTCGGTCAACAAGAACATTGACAGAAATCAAGTCCTTATTTCCTGAATTACCTGAGTCACTGTCCGAACTGGATTCGGCCTTCTTGGCAGTCACAGCTTTGTTTTTGGGACCAGGAATTGTTTTAGCCACCACTGCTTTGCCTACAAAAGCAAATTTAAAATTAACGGGCCACATTCACAGCAATCCTTTGTCCTAAGATCCAAATTTTTCCAGACGTGAAAAAGCTCCCTATTCAGTGCACTAGTCATTCAGCCAGCACATCAGAAGCCAAGCAAGGACCTGGCCAACTGTAGTAATGGGCCTGTTTCACTCCTACTAAAGTAAATCCCAATGACTTTTCAAACCAGTGCATGTAAACTTATCCATTCTGCATACAATTTGAAACTAGAATACAGTGTTCTCTTTGGGACAGTTTCATATTACTCAGAAACTTCCAGAGAAGCAAATGTCAACATAGGCCAAAGTCATACTTTTTTTTTTTCCCAAGGAAACCAAGAGATAGCCAAATACTGACTGCACCATGCAACAGTGCTTCCTTTGCAGCCTCCTCTCCTCACAACACACCTGCTCCTCCCTTTGTGGGCACCTGCTCTGCCTCATCACTGCTGTCTGAGGAGTCACTACTCTCAGCCTTTTTTGCAGGAGCCTTGGCAAGGCCTTTCTTTTGCTGTGTAGCTTGAGGAGGTGGCACAGCGCTGTATGGACCTATAAAGAGAGAGAAAGACAGAGGTTCAGTCGTAACACAGCATTCAGGTGTCAGCATAATAGCACAAGTAGCACATTTGAGATCTTTATTTCAGTAAGAATAAAGCACTTCTGCTATTTGGTTCAATTTATTCCCCTTCTGCAGCTACAATTAAAGACGCTGGCTTATAATTTGAAAGGTTACACCCACTCCACTGCTACCCCCTGCTCCTAACGTGTTCCCCTTTTCTGGGCTCAGCCGATCCAACCATCTCTGAGGAAGTTCTCTCTGCACTTTGGAAGAATGAGAGCTTGTGCTGCCACACTGTTTCAGAAGAAATAGATATTTCTATTGTTGCTGCTTCTCATTTACTGCCTTCAACTGAGTTTCAGTGCCAGACTCCCCACTCAGACCATACTATACTGAACAGAGGTTCATCTAGCCCATCAGCTGAACTGAGATTGAGCAGCTCTGGATACTTCAGAGAAAGACGCATAAAATCTTGTAACCACAGACGGATTAAACCAGAGACAAATTACTTCCCAAATCCTGACAAATAGAAAACTTGCAAGAGGAATGTCCTTAAAAGCTAGTTGAATAAAAGATCGGTAGCAAAGCAAGCAGGGTAAGTCAGAATCTCCCTCTCTCCATCCTTTGCCAAGAGGGGCTGAATTTTAAGTTTAGTCTCATCAGTGTTCATGGAATTAAGCTGCTATAGTTCTACCACGTTTGGCACAAGGCACCATTTGGAGCCTTGTGTGGAGCAAAACTTGTCCGCAGCCAGCATACGCTTCTCCCGGGACAGCAGGGTTAGCAGAAAGTATCCTGCCACACAGTAACAATGGAATGTAATACTTGCCAGACTTTGGCTTTTGTTTTGCAGCTGGCTTTTCATCCTCTGAGCTGTCAGAAGAGTCCTCACTACTGGAACTTTCCTCGGCAGGTTTGGTTTTGCCTGGACATGCTTGAGTGGCTGTAGGTTTGAGTACAGGCGATTTCTTGGGAACAGCCTTATTGCAAGAAGGAAAGAAATACACGTAAAAAAATGAAATTCCACATCCAACTGTCTGCCCAAGATTTGTGTAGATTTCCCTTTTGAAGTCTATGCCTACTTGTCAGAGAGCAGAGTTTGAAAATAAAGGAATAAAGATTACTGAAAATCAGCAAATTCCAGGACACACACAAGCATCGTGATTTTTCTGGCCCCTGTGCTGTTATCTTCTCCTTCATGAATCTCTACTTGGGAGCCCCTCTGACCACGAAAAAACGGCACAGAACACTGACTGACTGAAATGGCTGTGAAAGGGTTGCAACTGGCACTTGATTAAACATATCTGGGAATTTTCTGTGTTGCAGAAAACATTTTTAATGCTCTATAATAGAAAATCCAAAGTTACAAATAGCTAAGAGGAGTCGCACAAAAGTGAATCCATAAGGGAGACTAAAACATTGTTAAGATAAAGAAGATTTTTCAGGTAGGAGCAGCGGAAGGGGTAAATAGGCATTAGGAAAGAAAGTCAGCACATGGAGAGAAGACACATAATCCCACCATGCAAAAACAAAAAGTCAGTAGGAGAGCCATAAAGGCTGCACTCAGCTTCTGGGCAGTCCATGCACTGGTGTACACATTTCACAGTCTCTGCAAAGCAGAGGTACACCCACTGACCAGATTTCTACAGTCTTCATGAAGTCTTTCGTTGTCTCACATACCTTCTTTGGGGCAGCCTTTTCCTCATCAGAATCTTCACTACTGCTGCTACTGCTTGCTGCTTTTCCGTTAATCAGCTTGGTAGTCACCTGGGCAGCTTTACTTCCTTTTAAGATAAGGCAAAAGAAATACCAGAAAATATGCCGTGGGAGGTGATGGGTAATTCCATTCAACATAAAGTATCAGAGAGGGGAAAGAACCATGGGAAGCTAACAGGGGAGATTAAGGCCGTACTGTGAGGCTGCTGTTTTATCCTACTGCAAGTTTAGAGAAGGTTTTCAGAAAACCGTCTATTCCAGTCAATCAGAAGCTCTAGGACCAGAGGCTGTTTTTATTGTTTTTAACTTGCTGCAGCCCAGTGCTGCTCTTCGAGTGGAAGACACTGGCAAAAGCGCAGCTTATGCAGTTAGGGGCTGCTGAATGCAGCTACTCCTGCAAAAAACGTAGCACTTGGAACCAGATGTTTCACCTGCAATCAGTTCTACACATAATCCATGTCAGGAGCAGGCTGGACTGGAGTATGAATGGCTGTGACGGTAGATTTTCAAACTGCTAAACTAATACACGTCTTGGCCTATAGGTACAGCCCCCACCACTCTTCCCCTGGCTTTTTTGTTTATGCGCTCTGACTCATGATTCACAATAAAGTAGTACCTGATTTAGGTGTCACCGGTTTTGGTGGCTGTTTCTTTGGTGCTGCTGACTCATCTGAGCTGCTCGAGTCAGAGCTGGAGCTCTCTGCTTTCTTCTGAGGCTGGATTTTGGTTCCAGCTGGCTTCGCTGCTGGTTTTGTTACTTTCTAAACAAAAAGAGGGAAAACCGATCAACCCTTGTAGCCAGGAAAGAGGCTAATAAGTGTGACACACACACAGGGAGTACAAAGCTATCTTTCACAGATGTTGCTGCTTTTACTTGGAAATTTTACTCTGCCTAAAAGTTAAGGCCTAAAATTCTCAGGACAATGATTTTGTCCAGGGAAACCTCTCAGAAGCCCACGGGGGACCTCCCTTGCACTTCAGTTCCCAGTTCTGCCTCCTCAAAATGAGGTAGCTCTGGACTGGTATTGTGTTCTCTTTCCTCTGGAGACAGCATTAATTTGAAGGCTCAAAATAGTAATTGAACAACTCTGGTTTGTCTCTTCAAGTATACATTGACGTCCCTCTTGCTCCCTCATTTCTCAAGAGTGCTCAAATTTATTTCAGCAATTGTAAATAAATCTTCTTCTCTGCAGTGAAAGCAAGCAATGGCAGTCTTAGGACAAAAGCAAGGAGCTTTTGGATGTGAAACAGAAAACGGGTGCTGGACATGACATGAACCTTTCACTGGGACCACTGCAAATGGCAGACTGTGCAGTACAGAACTGTCTTATTAGATGGTACCTGCACTAGTCTAGGTATTTCACAGTTCAGGAAAAGTGGGCCCAATTTCAGGGAGAATTCTACTGGTCAAATTTACTTTTATCCATCACTGTCAAACTTGCGTGAAAGAGGCTGGAAAGAAAAGCTGACCTTCTCTGGCTTCTTTTCCTCCTCAGAGTCTGAATCATCGCTGGAGTCCTCACTGCTGCTCTCTGCCTTCTTGGCTGGTGGAGCTGCTTTCACCTTGGGCACAGCTGTTATTTTAGCTGCAAATAAGGGACAGCACACACTGATAAGTGAATTCACAACTTTCATATACATATATCCTGGACTACTGTGTGTCAGGGCAAAAAGATAAATGAAGGTTATTAAATCACAGCTGAAGTTCAGGCCTTAGCTTCTCAAGCGGAGTGTGGCAGAAGACTCCAAAAGGAATAAAAAAATTCCAGCATCATTCAGTCCTTGTCACACGTATGTTTAAGTGCAGACGTTATCACCAAAACCTTCACCCCATGTACAGAGTGTCCCCACAAACTGAGAGGAGATTAACTGGGCCTGCACAGTTTTCAGCTTAAAAAAACTGCCTAACAAGTGCAGACTTCCAAAGAGAACCAGCGCAATGCTGTTTTGAGCTTCCAGACTCATTGCTTAACTTGTTTTAGCCAAGTCTACTCCTTTCTGGTTACTGACTGCTTCTTTTGCTGCACATCATTAATAAATCATTTCACCTCAAAGTATATTTCTGACCTCCCTTTTCAAAGCAAAACCAGGCCTCAGTTCAAATTCACCTTCAGGTTAGGTTGAATTAAAGACCGGTTTTATTTCTGGGTGTCTCCCTCTTCCTGTCTACTACTCTTTTCCCACAAATCTGCTGCTAGATGCACGTCAAGTTGAGTACGCAGTGGTTCAAGCAGGGCATAAAAGCAATTCCAGATTAAAAAAGGGGAAACACAGCTCACCACCTGCCAACATGCAGCGGAGGGACTTATCTCTAGACAGCACTAGGACACAGGCTTGAGAAAGGAGGGTAGGAACCTCACACAAGCAGCAGAGTAAGCCTGCAACTGATTAACAGTGCTTGCCATTTCTCTGAAGTCTCTCTTCCACAAGTGTCCTGCCTCAAATAGGTCACGATGCCCATCAATACACAAAGAAGCCTGATAACGCCAAGTCAAGTATAAGTTTTGTCAAATTAGGTGTATTTTAAGAAACGCGCAAGCACATGTACCCTGAATATACCCTGAATCAGTTGTCCTACAACAGTAGGACAAGGAGCTATTCTTTAAGGATTCCACAGGAACTGAGAGTCCCAGGGAAACAGAAGGAAGAAAAAATCACGGAGTACCTCCTTCTCCAAGTATTAGCCCAATTTATATGCATTCAAACAATTTCACTCAATATTTAAATCAACAAGACTTTGAAAGCACTGAAGTGGATGAGAGTAGCTCTGCCTGGATATCACAACAGTAAGTATTTAGACAGCAGAATCGCAATATAGATAATATAATGAACTTGCTACTTCAGTAGCACCTTCAGAATTCATTACAGCCTAATGCCTCCACCAGCCTGAGTCAACAGAGACAAATCAAATCATTAAAGGCTTCTAGCAGATTCAAAACTCCATCTACTTCAATTACAACTGGACGGAGAAATCACCCTCAAGGAGGAGGAACACAGGCTACAAAAGCAGATGGGAGTCATGGGCACAAGATCTACCAAAACCAAGATCACTCAATATAAAGCCAATCCTTGACAGCAACTTAAAGACTTCAGATGAGCAGAAACTGAGCTCTATATCCACATCACGAAGAAATTTTCGAACATAATGCACATCTGCCCTAAGAACTTTTACAAATCTTACCTGGTTTCTTGGCTGGGGGTGTTTCATCTTCCTCACTGGAGCTGTCATCACTGCTTGAGGAAGATTTCCTCTTTGCACGAGATCCATTGGGAACACTTTTTCTCTTTTTGGCAGCAGGAGACCTACAAAGAGAAAGACTTGGCTCCAAAGAAAGTTTCTGCTGACTTTATGTCCTCCCAGCCTTGAGAAAGTAAAATGTTATCCTCGGGAACAATCACTTCTCCAGCATTCTATTTTATTCTTTGTTACAGCACCAAACCTAAGGCTACTGACGAGTCTAAAAGAACAAAAACTGCTATAAAAGTTACTATTCAAATATTAAAACCCATACACTAGTCTTAGCCACTATTTTTTGATGTTATGATTGCCCTGTACCATCACCACCATCCAAGTTGCATCTACAACAGCATCACCGCATACATGACTTTTCACTGAAGCACTTAATCCACAGGCTTAAAAGCTTTTTCTCCAAACAAGCTATCAGCAAGACTGCAGATCAGTGCCGAAGAAAGCTCAGTTTTGCAAGCCGTGTGTCCCCAGGGTAGATAAGCAAAGCACCCTTCAGCAAATCTTTCAGGAGGCAGCAAACTTACTTCAGCCAGTAACTAAAGACGTCTAAGAGAGAGGCAGCATTGGGATCCTGGTCTTTCTGTAGGAATACAAACAGAAAGTTTGTCGACTGTTAGCGCTCTGACGGAGAACACCGCAGGGTAACTCCTGACCCGCTTGCGCCCCGCTTGCGGACGAACAGCTGCCTCCTACAGCAAACTCAGCCAGGAGAGCGCACCGGTTGTGCAACCAACACGCTCACATTAAAAGCCAAGAAGCAACCCGGGGCACGGCGCCGCTGGACACCCGCGTCTCAGCCGGTCGCGGCTCGGCG